ATTTACCCATTGCTATGAACTGCCCCTCCAGGCTGCCTTAGCTGCATCCTAGAGGTTTCGGTATGTTCTATTTTCATTTCCATTTTCTTGAGTTGCCTGGTCTTTCTGTGACATATCTCCCTTGTGATTGGGCATTCTTATATTTCTCAACTGTGAGTATGCTTTTGGACTAGATTTTTCTTTCAATTTCCTGCCCATTCTTTCTTATTCAGTTCATTTTTTTACATGACAGCTATTCATGCAACTGTCAGCTCTCATTCTTATTCCAGCTTTCTAGATATTATCTGAAGAACAGAATAAAAACAAAACAAAACAAATATCTAATAGAGTCCAATTATCCTATTCTAGCCAACATAGAGGAGAACACAATTATCTCCTCCACTTTTCTGTAGGTATTTCCATCATGATCCAGTCTAGCATAAAGTCTTGCTTTTAAATCATAGTTTGAGTGAAAGTTGAAATGGAAGTTAAATTTTTATTGAACCATTCATATGCATTTAGGTCTATACCATTAATTACAATGTGCATGATGAAAAAATACTTCCCACATGTGATTCTAATTTCCGTTAACTCATCGGTACCTGTTTGTGTCTTCTCTCTTATGCTAATCATTTTCTTATTGTGCAATGCCTTTTTTTTCCTCCCTAAAATAAGTTCTTAAAATTTGTTCACAGCATTTTTCACTTATGTTAAGAGCTTAACAACCAAAACCTTAAGCCTAACAAGCACAGTTTTTAAAATATTTTTTATTTACATTTTTAAATGCTTTTAATATATACTGTAAGGAAAACTCAACTCTAGCTATTGTTACAGTAGCCAGTTAATTTGGTGTTAGCCTAGTCATGATGTTCCCATATTTCTTAGTAAAACATGTTAAAATTTCTTTAACAGATAGATAATCTTGAATGATATCTTTCATAGTCTTGGAACTAATAAATTTAAATTTTATTATATGGCTGTAGAAACAAAATATTCACAGTTGTAACTTTTAAAATTTTTGTTCCACTTACCACAAATAAAGATTTTTTTTTAAATTGAACTCTTGCTGGTGCCATACAAAAGTTAGAGAGAAAATTTTTTCTTTGAAAGTTTTATTTTAACTTAACAATATCAAACACGTAAGTAAGAAAATTATTCTTTCCCATCCCACTCTTAAATATCTTGTTTATCCCTTGTTTATTTACTTTTTTAAATCTCTCTTTCTTTCAAAGAGAAATAGAATATAACTTTATAAAAACAAATATAATACTTTAATTTGAAATATGGACTCTAAAGGAAACTTCTTTTTTAAAAAATGCCTTTTTGTAAGCATAATTTCTATTAGATTTTTATCATTCATATACATTGTGTATACCATGAATGTACTTTGTGCTTTATATAATCTTTCGTTTATACTATATTTCTTTTTTGAATTGGTTTGCTTAGAAAGTTCATATAAATTTTGTTTCACACTCTTCTTCATTCACATTGTGTTTTCTGTAATCATTGAAATACATTATGTTTTATAAAATTAATCACCTTTGAACATCATTACCTTCTCTTTTCAGGTCTCTGCCTAAATGAAATATATATTTCATTCATGTATATTGTGAGTTTTTTTTCCTTCCTTAAAATCTTATAATAATAATCTTAGCAATAACTTATTTGTTAGAATAACTTATTCTAACTAGTGGAATACCTTATTCTATTTAAATAAGTAAAACTACCTATCAGTAGCACAACTACTAAAAACTTTTTAATTATTAGATATTAAAATGTGGCATGATAGATGGTGAAGAGATTGACATAGTTAACAGCTTTAGTTTGCTTGCTCCACAATCAATACTCTTGCTACCAGAAGCCAGGAAATTAAAAGATGAGTTACATGGGGAAAGTCTGCTGTCAGAGACCTCTCCAAAGTACTGAAGAGCAATGATATCAGTATGGAGACAAAGGTGCATTTGATATAGGCTAAGTCTTTGCAATAACTTGCTATGCATCAGAAAGTTGGACAATGACTATGGATAATAGAAGGGAATTGATATCTTTGAGCTGAGGTGCTGGAGAAAAGTATTGAAGATATTATGGACTGCTAGGAGAACAAACAGGTTTGTCCTAGAGAGAGTGAGACTATGCTGCTCCTTGTAGGCCAGGATTCAGAAGCTTCGTCTGACAGACTTTGGCATTTTGCAAGGAGGGACTAATTTTGGAAAGAGACATCATACTTGGGAGGGTGGAGGGACAGTACAAGAGAGGAAGACCCTCAATAAAATGGATTGATTCAGTGACTGGGATATTGGGGTTTAGGTGTGACAGAGACAATAAGACTAGCACAGGATAGAGCAGGGTTTATGGCTGTTGTACGTAGGGTCACTATGTGTCACAGGAGACTTGTCATGAGCCTTAAGCCTTAATTAATTATTCAGACATTTTACAAAAGCCAGTTACAAGTTATCAATTCACTCATAAATTAATTCAAAGCAGTAATTGCAATTTATCTACAATTAATAAATTCATCACAGCATATTGATTCAACAACAGTGGGGAATACCCTCTCATCCGTGGGATCCCAACACTTCTCCTTCTTTTGCCTCTCATGGTCATGGGTACAGTTGGGGGGGGGGTTCAGCTAGTTCAGCAGTTAGATGTAGCCAAGGTCTGTCAATGTGGGCAGAATCCTCTGCTGTTTCAGTAGCACATGTCCATCAGTGTAAGCCAGAGTTCTTGGCTCTGAAAAGAGCCTTTAGGTCTTTAGCTCTAAAAAGAGCCTTTGGGTCTTCAGTGTCCAGCTCATTGTGAAGTGCAGAGAGAGATCTACTGGGCACACCCTTAGTTTATCTACTCTGGCTTTCCCACTTTACGTTATGGTGAGGCAAGTGGGTCATGCAGGGATATGTTGAATGACAATAAAGGTTTGACTAACCATGTTCAACACTAGTTGTGTTTTCTTGGCAACACAGCCTGTAACCAGTCATAGATCCTTATCAAGGGTCTACACGTGTTATGGTCAGTGGGGTCCTAGAGCCACTAAAGGCCTATTTGGGCATCTTCGGGCATATCAACTATTCAGTTTATTTTCACAAATATTCTTAACAAAATTTCTAACCATAACATAGCAGATTCCTAACCTATTTCTTATTCTTATGTCTAACATATAACATAGCAGATTTCTATCATATTCCTTTTTCTTATTTCAAACCTATAACATAGAAGGTTCCTAATATATTTTCTCATTCTCAAATTTACAAGTTATGTTCCCTTAGCCAGATGGGCAGTAACAGGTTACATTCCCTTATCAGGGATTTATATATGTTGAGGTCATTGGCTTTACAGGCAAATTATTATCATTTGCATTCCCTTATCAAAGGTTTACCCCATTTGGTCAGTGGGGCCTTAGGCCTCTAAGGCCTGTTTAGGCATGTTAAACTGTTAGCATATATTTTCACATATATTTTTATTTCTAAACTTAAGCATCAAGTTTATCATAGCAAGCTTATCATGTTTTTCCAAAGCAGACATATTTTATAATATATTTCACTGTGAATTAACAGCAAATTTATGATATTTCATAATATATGTTATAACATGATTAATATATTTTCTTATACTTAAACTGCTCATTACAAGACTCAATGGCACATAGCAACAACAATTAAAATGTGGATCATGTTAAGTGAAGAGAAGAACAATAAAATAATAATATGTGGATTATCACTTCACATAATATTAGATTTTTTTAGCATCTAAGCTTGTGTCAAAAGTGATAATGGTTACCCATGTGGACAGTGTTTGGTGGAGATTTCCGATTAAAACAAGCTTGAAAGCAGGAATGGCATCCGCTTCAGAAATAGCTTGCCTCTAGAAACTCTGTGATCTTGGAGAAACGATGAAAGTTCAGGTCTTTCATAGGTTTATTATGAGTTATCTATGACTTGATGGCAATTAACAACCACAACAACAAAAACATAGGGAGAGCTCTGTTGCCTAGTGGATAAAAAGTTATACTACCAAGCCAAATATGGGTGATTTTAATCTGTGGCCCTCAGGCCTAGTTTTAATTGGTTTGCATCAAACATTCTACTAAGTGGTATAACACTGATCTGTCCATTTGCTGTACAGAGGCTAAACACTGTGACACTGATATGTCAAATGTGGTAATGATTACCCATGATGAACAGTGTTTGGTGGAGCTTCCTGATTAAAACATGCTTGGAAGCAGGAGTGGCATCTGCTTCCGAAATAGAAACTCTATGAATGTGGAGAAATGATGAAAGTTATACAAGTGTTCATGTCTTTCATTCATAGGATCATTATGAGTCGTCTACAACTCGACTTAACAACAACAAAACAATAACAACAAGCTTTTATTAATGTTTTTAAAAACAAGCATCCATGCCAATAAGGATAGTAATGAGGGAAAAGGAAGGGTGAGAGAAGAAGAAATTTTGCCTTTCTGGTAATAAAGTTACAGGTTCATTGTACCATGGATTTCGTAGTTGTACACCCATTAGTGGTCATTGAAGATGATGTACCACTTTTTAAGAACAATTCTGTTCCATTGAGTGCTGGTTTGAGATCACATCAACTCTTTAAGATCGCGTATGTGTCATCAGTGATGTACTTAATGTGGACCTTCTTTGCCAGATGGTCATTGCAAACCACTTCAATCATTCTGACTGCAACTTGAATATGCTTGCAGCAAAATTAGATTTTTTTTAAAGGTAGCATGTAATTTCCTTACGTAATCCTCATCAAGATATGTGAAATGAACTTGGAGAAATGACGATAGCTATAGAAAGGCATTAGGTCTTTTATCCATAAATTCGCTATGAGTCATGCTTGACTTGATGGCAATCAACAACAACTTTTAATTTGGGAAAAAATGTTTTCCATTGTTGTTGATTTTTCTTGGTCTTAATTGTGTTTTGCTTTACTTAAGCTTTCATAATTAATGAGCTCATTTTACCAAAATTTATACTAAAAGAAGACACTTTAAATTTTGACCTTTTTCTCATTGCCAGGCATTCAGTGGAATAATATGTACCAGCCTCCAGAACATGGAAGCATGACATTTGGCTGGGTTTGCTGGATGATTCTGTTTGATTCATGCCTTTACTTTATCTGTGGATGGTACTTCAGCAACTTGATTCCTGGTAAGAGTTTGATTTATAATATAACAAAATAAATGTTAAACGTTAGATTAATTCATACAGTGAGAGGAATATCAGAAGGGGAATTCATAGAAAACCTAAAACTTCCTCACTGCCTCCTAGTCAGAACCACCCCATATTTGGCCCTCCAACAGGTTTCTGAGGTTAAAAATCACACAGGAGATAGTTCAGCTTTCTCTTGTGAAACAGTTGGTGCATTGGAACCTTCAGAGACGTGCTGGCTTTGAAATGGCAGTACAACTCTCTGTGGACTATGCCATCAGAGTGTTGTCTATCAAAATAAAATATAAATTTTTAAGGGAAAGATGATGAAATGACAAACAATATTTGAGACTGAATAAGTACGAAGTACAAGTTTAAAAATCACCCAGGCAAACAAGTAGTTTCCCAACATGTGGCTTCTGCCAACTACACAGAAAAGATTCTGATTAAGCATACATGTCTGAGTAGGTCAAGATGTAAAGAAGTTAGAGCTGGAGATTGGGAGCCTATTGCATTGAGAATGCAAAAGTTGGGCTGGAGTTCATAGACACATAATAGAGTTTGGAACTGATAGAAGAAAAAGGTTTGACCACAAGATGGTAATGTTGAATAAGTTATTCACTGTGGTGGATATATATTGACAAGGTTTCATGTTTGTTTATTGGTTGTGGGTTTTTGTGGGTTTTTTCCCCTTTTTTGGGGGTTTATACACAGTTATTCACATACATTGTGTTTCAACCATGTCATGTTTTATACAATCTTTCATTTAGAATGTTTCAGAAAATCATTCATGTGCATTGTATTATATCATCATTCATATATATTGTATTGTTCTTGTTGTTATGTGACATGAGTTCGCCTGCGACTCATAGCAATCCTATGTACAACAGTCCTAAACCCTGCTCTAACCTGTGCCACTCTTATTGTCTCTGACACACCTTTCCCTGTTAGACCAGTCATTAAATCAATCCATCTCATCTAGGGTCGTCGTCTCCTGCACTGGCCCTTCACCCTCACAAGCATGACATCCCTCTCGAAGATTCAAAATCTTTGCCTCTAAGGAGCATCCTGGCTTCACTCTCTCTCACACAAACCTATCTGTTCCCTTAGCAGTCCATGGTATATTCAATACTCTTCTCCAACACCACAGCTCAAAGAAATCAACTCTCCTTCTATCATCCCTAGTCATGTCCAGCTCTCTGATGCATAGCAAGTGATGACAAAGACCATTGCCTGCATCAGGCACACCTTAGTCTCCAGACTGACATCATTGCTCTTCAGTATTTTAGAGAGGTCTCTAACCACAGACTTTCACCATCGCAATAAGTCTTTTAATTTCCTGAATGCTGGTTCTAAGAGTGTTGATTGTGGATCCAGCAAACTGAAGTTATCTATAATCTCAATCTCTTCACCATCCATCATAGTGCTGCCAATAGGTCCACTGGTGAGAATCTTTGTTTTCTTGACGTTGAGCCTCAATACATACTGAAGGCTACAGTCTCTGACCTTCCACAGCAAGGGCTTCAGGTCCTACTCAGTTTCAGCAAGCAGGGTTGTGTCATCTGCATAATGCAGATTGTTGATGAGTCTTCCTCCAATCCAGATGCCACATTTCTCCTCAAAGAGCCCAGCCTCCTGGATAATCTGTTTTGAATATAGATTGAAAAGGTATGGAGATAGGACACATCCCTGGCATACACCTTTCCCAATTTTGAGTCATGCAATGTTTCCTTGCTCTGTTCAGATGACTGCCTCCTGGACCAAGTATAGGTTTTGCATTAGCATAATAAAATATTTTGGGATTCCCATTCTTCTCAGAATCAGCCACAGTTTGTTGTGATCTACACAGTAAAATACCCTTGCATAATCAATGAAACACAGATCGACATTCCTCTGGTACTCCCTGCTTTCAGCCAAGATCCATCTAACATTAGCTACAATATCCCTAGTACCACAACCCCTTCTAAGTGAAATATCGGAGATGAAAAGTAGGCCGGATGCTGATTGTGGAACAGACCACCAACTACTCATATGCAAGTTCAAGCTGAAGCTAAGGAAAGTGAAATCAAATCAACGGTAACCAAAATATTACCTTGAGTTTATCCCACCTGAATTTAAAAACCATCTCAGGAACAGGTTTGAGGTCTTGAACACAAATTAGTGAAGGCTAGCTGAGTTATGGGAGGATATCAAGAATATCATCCAGGAAGAGTGCAAAACATCATTACAAAGACAGAGCAGGAAGAAGAGACTGTGAATATTTCACTAGAGTGCCAAGAAGCCAAAGTAGAGAGAAGAAATCAAGATGTTAAGGAGCTGAACAGAAGACTTCAAAAGGCAGCTCAAGAAGACAAAATAAAGTATTATAATGAAATATGCAAAGAGCTGGTGTCAGAAAATCAAAAGGGATCAACTCACTCAGCATTTCTTAAGGTCAAGGAACTGAAGAACAATTTCAAACCTCGAGTTGCAATACTTATGGATGCTTTGGGAAGAATATGAAATGATCCTGGAAATATTAAAAGAAGATGGAAGGAGTATACAGAGTCATTATACCAAAAGAAATTGGCAGACACAGATGAATTTAATGAAATAATTTATGAGCAAGAGCCTCTGGTGAAGGAAGAAGTCCAAATGGCTTTGAAAGAATTGCCAAAAAATAAGGCCCCAGGAACTGATGGCATAACAATTGTCATATTTCATCCAACAGATGCTGCCTTAGATTTGCTCACCAAGTTATGCCAATAAATCTGGAGGATAACCACTTGGCCAAGTGGCTGGAAGAGTTCGGTATTTGTTCCATTCCAAAGAAAAGTGATCCGACAGAGGGTGGAACTTGTCAAACAATATCATTAATATCATATGTAAGCAAGATTCTGCTGAAGATTATCCAAAACCAACTGGAACAGCATATTCTGTATTGTCTATAATTAATTACTTTGCCTATTGTTAGGGAGCTCCAGTGGCCTAGTGGTAAGAAGTAGCATTGCAATCCCAAAAGAACACCAGGTGCTCTGTGGGAGAAAGATGGGCAATCTCCTTCCCAGTGATTTACTGCCTCAGAAAACCCACTGGAAGTTCAGCTCTAGGTAATTTCCAACTCATTGGTACACAACAACATGCCCATTATGATCGTGCATTCACAATTCCATGAAACATTTTCTATTCTTTCACCCCCCTCATCTACCCACTTAACTCTGCTATCATAGAGATTTCCACCTTTCCCCTTTTCCTACACCCTTCCCTGTTCCACCCTTTCTCTTTTTGACATTTATAAACATCTTACTAGACATTCAAAGAGCTGAACAGAAAATTTCAAAAGGCAGCTCAGGACGACAAAGCAAGATACCATAATGAAATGTGCAGAGAGCTGGAGTCAGAAAATGAAAAGGGCCGAACTGGCTAAGCATTTCTTAAGCTGAAGGAGTTGAAAAACAAATTCAAGCCATGAATGGAAATACTTAATGATAGTTTGGTAGAATGTTAAATGATCCAGGAAGTATCAAAAGAAGATGGAAAGAGTACACAGAGTTAATGTATCAGAAGGGATTGGCTGACACAGAGGAATTTCATGAAATAACATATGAACAAGAGGCTATGGTGATGAAAGAGGAAGTTCAAGTTGCTCTGAAGGAATTGGCTAAAAACAAGGCTTGAGGAGTTGATAGCATACCAATTGATTTATTTCAACAAACAGACACTGCCCTGGATGTGCTCACTAAGTTGTGCCAGGAAATCTAGAGGACAGCCAGCTGGCCAACTGACTGGAAGAGATCAATATTTGTTCCCATTCCAAGGAAAGGTGACCCAACAGAGTGTGGACATTATCAAATAATATCATTGATATCACATGTAAGCAACATTCTGCTGAAAATTATCCAAAAATGTTTGGAACAATATGTCAACAGAGAACTGCCAGATGTGCAGTCTGGATTTAGAAGAGGTTGTGGTACTAGGGATATTATAGCTAATGTAAGATGGATCTTGGCAGAAAGCAGAGAATACCAGAAGAGTGTGTAGCTATGCTTCATTGACTGTGCAAAGTCTTACAACTGTGTGGATCACAACAAGCTATGGTTGACTCTGAGAGGAATGGGAATCCCAGAACATATGATTGTGCTTATGTGAAACCTATACTTGGACCAAGAGGCAGTTGTCAGAACAGAGCAGGGACTGGATGGTTCAAAATCAGGAAGGGGGTCGGTCCGTCAGGGATGTATTTGTCTCCATACCTTTTCAATCTGTATGCAGAACAGATCATCCAAGACGCTGGGCTGTACAAAGAGGAATGTGGCATCAGGATTGGTGGAAGAATCGTCAACAACCTGCGTTATGCTGAAATTGAGGAGGGCCTGAAGTACTTGCTGCAGAAGGTCAAGGACAGCAGCCTTCAATATGAATTGAAGCTCAACATCAAGAAAACAGAGATTCTCACCATTGAGCCAATTGGCAGCATCAGTATGGATGGTGAAGCGATTGTCATAGTTATCCGTTTTAGTTTACTTGGTTCCACAGTCAACACTCTTGATAACAGCAGCCAGGAAATCAGGAGACAAATTGCATTGAGAAAGTCAGCTGTGAGAGACCTCTCAAGAATACTGACATGAAATGATGTCAGGCTGGAGACTCAGGTGCACCTGATCCAGTCTATGGTCTTTGCAATTACGTGCTATGCATCAGAGAGTTGGACAGTGAATAGGGATGACAGAAAGAGAATTGATGCTTTTGAGCTGTGGTGTTGGAAAAGAGTGTTGAATATACCATGGACTGCTAGGAGAACAAACAGGTCTATCCTGGAGATGAAGCCAGAATGCTCCTTGGAGTCAAGGATTCTGAAGCTTCGTCTCACATGCTTTGGGCATGTAGTAAGGCAGTACTGGTCCTTGGAGAGGGACATCATGTTTGGGAGAGTGAAGGGACGGAGGAAGAGAGAAAGACTCTCGATGAGATAGGTCGATTCTGTGAGTGGAGTGTGGGAATTAGTGTGTTTGAGATGGTGA